ATATATAATAATGTATTAAAAAAAACATAATCTTACGACGGTAGAGAATCATGTCTAAACTGTAAAAGTAGGGGCGACGTTGCTGAAGGCTCTCCTCCTGCCCGTGCACGTTGTACTTCGGACCGAAGTATAAGCGTATGGAGGTGTTGACCTCCTTCTCGGACTCGATGTTGATGTACAGCTTGAAGGGTTTGTGGTTCAAACGGTACTGCCGGGTCTGGACCACGTGGTCCTTGGCCTCGTGTTCGCTGACAATCGGCAACCCGTGGCTTATCGTCACGTCGAACGGCTCGAAGAAGGTCTCGAGCCTGTCGGTCGTCACCGACTCGATCTTCAACTCGGGGAACCGGATTTTCTCGGGCTTGTAGGGCTGCAGGTTTTTCTTGTACCTGCGACGCGTCACGGGGGATAATAATAATAAACATGTACAATTAACGCGATAAACAATACTAACGTTTTGGGTGGGCTAACCTGCGGTAAAAGTCGAGTATTCTTTTCCAGAGCCTCCAGACGCCCGGATCCCTGACGCTCGTCACCAAATGCTCGAGGGCACTGGACACAGGATTGTTGCTCGTGTCCGGGTCCGAGCCGAAGCCGATGATGTTGCGGCCGAGGGCCTCGATGTTGCCGTAGTACATGGGGTTGCACGAGTCGGCGTTGCCCTCGATCATGTTGCCGAGGATGTTGATACCACCATAGTTGAGGATCTTCTCGGTCTTGCCTTCCTTGGTGTACACGATCCCGGAGTCCAACGCCTGGTTGATTCTCGACTCGTACTCTTCAAACTCCTGAACATTTACGGTTTTCGATTTTTTAGTTTTCAATTTCTACATCAGCTCAACACCCACGATTATAAAAGTGAAGATGCGCATTGATTCATCCCAAATGGCTCCAACTCGATAATATATAATATATTCCCGGTTCTTTAGAACTTGACCGTTCAAATGATGATTTCTCGGATATTTCATACATTCAAGATGCAGTATAAATAATCGTTATTCTAGCCCCGGGGTTTTGCCACTAAATAAGGCGCATGTATGATGATATACATATAATATGTAGGTGCAAATAACGTACCCTGATCTTTTTGTACTTGTCTCTGGGGAAGTAGGCGTCGGCGGGTCTGGATGGGAACTGTTGTCCATTGGGATGGTCGAGGGAGGGCCAGTAGCCCGGATAGAACGGCCTACTGTGATCGTAATCCTCGATCTTGCCGAGGTCGTTGCTCAGCCGTTCCAGGTAGAAGCGGTTGAATAGGTGGTCCTGGCCGTACAGGTACTCCTCGCCCCGGAAGTACTTTGGCCAGCCGAACTCCTCGCTACTCATGAAGAACGGGTACATGTTGCGCAAAAAGTAGTAGAACACGTTCAGCCCGACATCCTCGGTAAAGTACGCCAGCCGCTGCTCGTAGTCGTACTCGCTGGATACCCTCGAGTAGTTGTACGGGATGACGTACGCGTCGTAGCCAGCGCTGTGCTTGGGCACTGCAGGGGGGTGGGACAAAGGTGTTATATTTACATGCTCTGCCCTTAATTGGCTGTACTTCAACTCACCGAACTGGCCGTGCTTCTTGTAGTGGTGCGCCTTCTCGAGCAACTCGCGGTTGTAGAAATACGTGGGTGTGATCTCGTACAGGGGCGGCAGCTTCATGAACTTGGTGTCCGGCCGGTGGATGACGGCAAGGTAGTACGCGTAGCTGAACACAGAGGGACTGATCCGGTTGCGACAGAATAGGGCCGTTTTGTAGAAGGTGTCAAAATCCTTGGCGTAGTAGAGCAAACGGAACACGGCGATGGTTTCCGCGAGGCACCGGGGGTGGTATATCGAGAAGTCGGCCTCGCTCGGCAAAAAGCCGTGCTCGTAGCGACGCAGGAACTCCGTTACCACCTCCTGATGGCACAAGAACATTACACGTGTGTATATGTATATATTGCGCACTTCGATTGAGAGGTCATTCATACATACATAGTTCGGGATACGATTCGGGATGATTCATTTTGGGTAAATAACATGTATATTTTGAAAGTTCATGCAAATAAATATACTTTTTTTTATTGTTTTCTCTTCTATTGGACATATTTTGTACACTGAGGAAAAAAAAAGAACAACAATTGTGGAGACATTCCAGCAAAAATTACTATTCCTCACAGTTGGGAAATTTTATTATTATTTTTAACGGTAAAGATTGTTTTATTAACAGTTAAAATTATGGCTAGAACAATAAACCTTAAAAGGATTGGTTGATAAATTTTACCTTCCCGTATAGGAATTTTCGATATTCGAACCATAATTTTGACTATTCAAACAATAATCTTTACCATTAGAAGTAACAATTTTTTCCTTTTTTGCCAATTTGTATCGGATTAACCGTGCGAAACGGTAATATTATCTGGGATTTCTCTTTAATATTCATTATTTTGTTCTCTCGGTGTAATTAATCTAATTTCCAGACTGTTTTTCTTTTTCGTCAAGGAAAGTGGATGTATGAATATATCGAACCTTACACGTAATGAGCTCCATAAGTTAATGATGTTAGTAACCGTTTGATTGATTTTATATATAGTTGACGCAAAATCGATATGGTATACATACTTATTGTTGTTTAATCCAGAATGTAAATATACACCCAATATAATATACCTTGTTGGTGTAGTTGTCCTTGTTGGCCTCGACATCGTACTCCTGGCCCTCCTTGTGAAGCTCGGCCTTCAACTCGGGCATGTTGGAGTGGTACATGATCTGGTAGACGCGCTTTTGCTTGAGCAAAAAGTCCATGTCGGCGGTGTGTTCGATCTTGTGTTCCGGCTTGTAGGCTTGGGCCGTCACCCAACCGACGGCCACCGCCGACAAAAGTACCAGCCTACCGAGCATCACGGCTTTTTTTTGTCCTTTCTTCCTTACTTTTCCCCCTCTCTCTCTCTCTTTTTGTGCTAATCGAAGCCTAAAATTAAAATTAAAATTATTTCAACAAAATACAGATGAATGAGCTCTGGTGGATGCATTACAGTACAAGCAGTTAATGGCAATGATGTGGGCAAGCGCAAAACTGGGAAATTCGGTGTTAATGATTAAATGACTGTACTCATAATATTATCAACTACGGATTTATTTTTATCTTGGTCGGGTGGTGGAACAAAAGATTTATCGTTTATTGATGGAATCGATTGACTCGATATCCACCTTGTCAAACGCTTGATTGATAAAAAATTATTTAAACATGGGTCCAAAACTATGTGACATTTAAAAATTAAAGACAATTGTCATAAAATCGTTTTAATAATTTTGAAAAGTCACCCAACGTCCCATGCATTTTAATGGCTTCTCGTACAAGATAATAGCAGCACTCAAGATGCAGCGTTAACTTATTTTATAATATTTTTTAGCAATAATAATAATAATAATAAGTTTTATTTATTTAAATACTAGAAGACTACTATAAAAAAGCTTAACCAACAAGGCATTGGGGTCCAAATAGGATCGTCAAACTTTTTCCACGTATTGCTTGAAAATTAACGCGAAAGGAGACAAAAAGTTATTTGTTTTTCTTTTTTTTTCGCACAAAAATATTTTGAATGCTTGAAACACTTTGTGCTGTTAGAGACGTGTAAACCGTTAAAAAAAAAAAAAAATTCCAAGCCCAGGAGCGCGAAATAAACAAAACGAAGAAATATATAAAAGTAATGAACCAATTGGATGATGATGTAATGTCGGACGGTGTATGATTTCGTTTGGTAAATAAGTAGAGGAGGATACCTCAAGTATAGCCGCTAACTGATGGCACAGAGGCCTCGCCCTGAGCTTTATAAGAGTTACGCTTAATCTACGAGGTGTTGTTTAATCGACATCGCTTTCGTGGGGGTCAAATGTCGCACTGTCACCCAGACGTACCACGTTATGCGAGCACATAATTGCGACGGTGGTGGTGATCGCGACCATACCAATCATCCAGCTCTGATGCGTGTACGGAAACTTTGGCCAACACGCAGTGTATATATTTTTGTGGAAAAATAAGTCGAAAAAACACACGGGTCATACACGAAGAAGCGAGTCAAGGCGAGACATGTTTTCAAAATAAGGAATTAATTGCTTCACCGAACATTCGAGATTTTTAAGACTTTCCTGTGCACACTCATTTTTTGTTATTTTGAGCCCAAGCAAAGTTAAAGTTCCCTTGCATATAGTTTTTTTTCAAACCTTGCGCCCCACTACCCCCAAAGTTTAAAGATCATCATGTTTATTTTTCAACATGTTGGGAAAAACATTCAACAATCAAGTACGTACAATTTTTTTTTTTTTTTTTTTTTTTTTTTTTTATCGATCAAAATCGAACTATCAAGTTTGACCGCTCTGGACAAATTGTGTGTAATCGGATTAAGTGCCGGAGCAGCAACAATTCTTATATCATCTTATAATATCTTATATTAGTCATTATATTTTGATACAACTGATTGGCACGAGAAAATAAAAACAGTAAAATACACCTACGAAATGTGTGTGTATATTATAAGCTGATACACTTTTTGATGCGGGGTCAAACTTTTTGTTTTTGCGAGACGCGCGTAAATGAGATATGATTTGAAAATACTAGTTTTCTTACGGGGAATTCGAACGATTACGTAAATTGAAGATAAAGTGCTGCTGGCCGAAGACTGTATTTTTGAAAACATGCATCTCGGGTGGTCAAAAGGCGCCGGGTCTTGCGTAAAACCCGCAATATGCCAATCAAGTTTTTTTGTTTTTCGCGCAATTATCATTGATTCAACTGATCGCTATAGCCACTTGGTCCCGCACCAATTGACATGGTTGGGCCTAATGTCAAACCGCATCGTTTTTACTTGGCTGTATAACGAGATCAAGCAGTATACTTTTGAAAAAAAAACTCTTGATCTTCCCTACTCCGCTATTTGGTCTTAGAAACTCGAATCTATCTAATCCATTTGACACAAACCATGTTGTAGCTGCCAAATTCGGTCTGGCTAATCTTACATGTATTGTGCTTATGAATTAAGTTACTTAATTTTATGATCAAGTTATCAAAACAAGAGCCATTTGAGGAAAATATTTCGTGTTTATTTATACATAGTTAAACACCACATACATTATTCGAGAAATGCAGGCATACATGTTAACTTTTTAACTTCGTCCATATAATTATAATAATAATAATAATAATAATAATAAAATAGTTCGTCTTGACGTATCACGTGATTTCGAAAGCCCCGACGAATTTGTTCTTCATGAGCTTTAAAAACCTTACTTGTGATGTCGTCTCTGCTTACAACTATGATAAATCCCACGATTCAGTCAAAACGAAAGAACTTGGACACTCGTCATCGTACTACTTATATATATATTTTTTTATGTATAAACCTGTCGTGTCGAGATTCTTCCGTTCGTTATTTTAAACCATATAATTATTGATTTTTACAAATGTTCCGTCTTAATCTCTCTCTGTCTCTTTTTGCCCGTCGCAACGAAAAGAAATATCAAATGGAATATAAAGTACCGCTATCGTCATTGCCGTCTCGCACAACGGCAACCTCCACACAAAATACTGCACGTCCCCCCCCCCCCTCCCCANTTTAATTATCCCTTAATTAAATATGAAGTGCGGCTGGGATTCTTCGACATCGCAAAGATCAAATTTTGGGACAAATTTACCTTACTGTACTTACGGTTGCGTCTACTTGTTTAGTTTGGAATCAATTAGTTGAGAAAATAAGTGTTTAATTCATGTATATATATATATCCCCATTAAAAACTACTCAATATGAAACACGTGTTTAGTAGGTTTTTGGGAAAATCTTTTTAAAATATCTGAAAATGATAAACGAGTAATCGTAACAATTATAAAGTTGAAGATAAAAGCCTCTGTTCAAGTATACATCGAAGCATTTACTTACAATGTATACAAAATAGGTTTGGCACTGGTCATTGGCCGATAGTGTGTTGGTCTTTTCAAAGTATAGTTACACCGATAAAAAACTTTTCTTTTTTTTTTTTTGCCAATTACTGTGATTATGTATCTCGTTTATTTGAAGGAGGTAGTAAAATGGCTGGTTTTTCAATTAACTATTAAAAAAAAATTATACCTTTCGTACGCATCAGTGAACTTACAAATATAGACACGTTTTCCATTTCATATGTCCATGGTGATAGTCGAATTAATATTGTGTTGATTTATTGGTAGTATATGTGGTATATTACTCAATTGCTAAATGGCATAACGACATATATATATATATATATATATACGTTAGAGTCACCGGGTTCCTCGGTACAGAAACACGCGTAGAGAATTGCTTATACTTTTTGATGTTCGAAGACTAGCCTAAATAGTTATTTATAATTTTTAAACCTAAATAGTTACAGTTTCCCGAGTAGTTCATCTCCCTCCCTTGTTATCTAATAATTATAATGTTTAAAAATTCAGACAAACGTTTTAGCGTATCTCTTCTGTTGCCACACATCTCTTGATATCATGATCATACGACAGGTTCAGTTGCAACGAAAGATCCATGTCTTTGCCATTTCGTTTTCCATTATATAGCATACGAAAATGAATGGTAATTTTATCGTACCGTTAACTTTTTCTTACCGAGTAATAGTGTGTTTGTTTTTTACATATACTCGTAAGTATTTGTTTTCATAAACTAACCGATGTTGTTTACATTTCTTTTGTATTCCAAAGTGGTACTTTAATGTCTGTATTGTTGCAATTTATACCGAATACTAAGTACCAATGTTCTAGGCGTATGCAGTGTACCGGAAAATGGTCACTGGACTTTTCGAAATTCGAAAGATTAAAGAATATTTTTTGTTTTGAGACCTCGAGATGAGATGTATAGACGAAACAAGTCTTTGGTAAGTCTCGTATCGAAGTATAAATTATAGGTACATCGTAATAATAATTCATGCACCCACATATGGGTACATATATACAAGTAAACCATGTAAGATGATTATGGTATAATGGGTAATGGTATATTTTTGCGTGACAAAAATATATCAAAGAACAAGATGTATGTGTATAGTTTTTAAAATAAAATTATTCATTTATTTCTAGTGTATTCAATGATGAAGGAGACCTATCTCCCAACGTAAGAGAGACGATCGTCCTCGTTAATGAGCATTTAACGTGAAGAACAGCAGTGAAAAAAAAAAAAAAAAAATTAATTATAACAAAATATTATCAAGTCTTGTTGATTTCGTCACATATGTAGACTTTGTCGCCAACTTCAAAATCGAACTATCAAGTTTGACCGCTCTGGACAAATTGTGTGTAATCGGATTAAGTGCCGGAGCAGCAACAATTCTTATATCATCTTATAATGATGGACACATCCTTGAAGTACATGTTCTGGAGCTTGAAGAACCAGGGGTTCATGGGTCTGTCGAGCGGGAAGCCGAACGATTGGCCGTAGAATTTGAATTGGCCGTAGAACGGTATGTCGTACACCTTGCCCTCCTGGTAGGGGCTGATGTAGAAGAACATCTTGTACTTCATGCCGTCGACCGAGCCCTTGGGGAGCATGAGGTTGCTGGGGAAGCCGTAGCGGGTCTCGCCGTAGGTGAACGGCTCGTTGCCCTCGATGGCCTTCATGATCTTCTTGTAGTAGGCGTCGCTACCGAGGGAGTTGTAGTTGTAGAAGAATGGAGAGTCGGTGCTCTTGCGGTCGAAGGTGTTCATGCCGGGTTTGACTGTAAGGGAAGAAAAGAAAAAAAAAAATAATAATATTAATAATAATAATAATAACATATCACAACCATCCCGAGTAAACGTGTCGATGATCATGATGAGCTAACTTACGGCCAATTTCGAACTGGTCGAGCTCGAAGAAGTACTTGTAGTACTTGCTGAAGTACGAGTAGTAGTCGACGTACTGTTCACCCTCGTAAGCGGGTCCCAGGAAGATGCGCACTATACCCTTGGTCTCCTTTTTGCTGTTGACCGAGAATTTGTAGGTGTAGGGCTTGTAGCTGAGGAAGTACTGCCAGGCCTTCATGTTGAAGGATTTGCCCTCCTTGTAGCTGTTCACGGTTATGGCGTTGTTGATGTAATAGTCCTTTACGTCGAAGTAGGTCACGAGTTTGTCGACCTCGACGTCCTCGATGCTCACATCGGGGAAGTCCAACTCTTCCTTGCTGTAGCGCTCCAGGTAGTTCTTGTATCTACGGACACATGGTAATTGTACAACATTGATATATCGTTGTATTTTGGCAATGTCCATTGTAAAAGGGTCCAACACGCGTGGTCTTTTACCTCTGGAAGAAGTAGACGATTTTGTCGTAGAGCCTGTAGAACGCGGGATCCTTCAAGCTGGTGGAGAAGAATTGCATGGCGCTCGGGATGTAGTAGTTCTTGCTGGTGGATTCGTAGTTCATGCTGAGGATGTTACGTGCCAATGCATCGTACGAGCCGTAGTACTGGAGGTTTTCGGAGTCGTAGTTACCCTCGATGAGGTTACCGAGGTAGTTGAGGCCCTCTTGGGTGTACAGGTCGACCGGTTTGCCGGATTCGTTGTAGAAGAAGCCAAAGTCAATGGCTTCGTAGATGCGAGTCTCCAACAGTTTGATGTACTATATGTGTATGTATAGAACAACCAAGAGAATATTAAGGATGAGAGCTTGTACAACACACGCGCGTATACGCCTGAAAAATGCAAAACTCACCTCGACGGATTTGGCCTTGTAGTAGGGAACAAAGTTCCACCAGTCGCGCTTGGGCATGGGAATGCCGTTGGCGTAGGTGTAGTCGGAGTAGTAGCCGGGCAAATTGATCTTGTCCCAGGAGAAGTAATCGAGCTCGTTGAAACCATTGCAGGATCTTTCGAGGTAATACCTGGACATGATCTGCTTGTGGATGTAGTAGTAGAAGTCACCGCGGAAGCTCTTGGGGAGGTCGTAGCTCTTGAGGTCCATCCAGAAGGGGAAGGCCATGCGGAAGTAGTAGTAGTAGGCGTTGAGGGATATGTCACCGGTGAAGTAGCTCAGCTTGTACTCGTTGTTGTATGCGGCACCGTAGTAGTTGTAATAGTCCGAGTAGTTGGAGTACACGTAGTACGTCTCGACCGCGTTCTCCATGTCGTACGAGTCCTTGTAGTACTTGTTGTAGCAGTGGCTCATCTTGTACTTGTACGCGTCGCGGATGACCTTGGAGTCGAAGAACATGCTGGGCAAGATCTCGTAGATGAGGGGCAGCCGGATGTACTTGGTGTCGCTGCGGTAGGTCACGGCGTTCGTGAACGCGGCGAGGAACACCCCGGGGTTCATGTAAGTGCGGGCCCAGCAGGCCGCCTTGTAGAAGGTCGTGAAGTCCTTGGCGAAGTAGAACACTTGGTAAAGGAGTTTCATCTCGTAGAGGTGCTCGTCGTTGTAGTACGAGAACAGGGCGTCACGGCTCAGGTAGTCACCCGACTTCCAGTACTCGAGGAACTCGCTTACGGCATCCTGGACGAAAACATCGTTTTTACGTTACACATTTGGGACGTTAAGTTGAAGGTTTTTTGTTTTTTGTATAATATATAATAAAAAATATGAGAATGACAATCGGTGAACTCACCGAAAGATTAAAGAATATTTTTTGTTTTGAGACCTCGAGATGAGATGTATAGACGAAACAAGTCTTTGGTAAGTCTCGTATCGAAGTATAAATTATAGGTACATCGTAATAATAATTCATGCACCCACATATGGGTACATATATACAAGTAAACCATGTAAGATGATTATGGTATAATGGGTAATGGTATATTTTTGCGTGACAAAAATATATCAAAGAACAAGATGTATGTGTATAGTTTTTAAAATAAAATTATTCATTTATTTCTAGTGTATTCAATGATGAAGGAGACCTATCTCCCAACGTAAGAGAGACGATCGTCCTCGTTAATGAGCATTTAACGTGAAGAACAGCAGTGAAAAAAAAAAAAAAAAATTAATTATAACAAAATATTATCAAGTCTTGTTGATTTCGTCACATATGTAGACTTTGTCGCCAACTAGCAAAGTCCACAAAGTCCATGCCTATGGGGGAAGCTGTAATTCTAGCGGGTATGGCCCGGGCATTTAGTACTTGCTGTTGTAGTCCTTGATGTGGTAGATGGACACATCCTTGAAGTACATGTTCTGGAGCTTGAAGAACCAGGGGTTCATGGGTCTGTCGAGCGGGAAGCCGAACGATTGGCCGTAGAATTTGAATTGGCCGTAGAACGGTATGTCGTACACCTTGCCCTCCTGGTAGGGGCTGATGTAGAAGAACATCTTGTACTTCATGCCGTCGACCGAGCCCTTGGGGAGCATGAGGTTGCTGGGGAAGCCGTAGCGGGTCTCGCCGTAGGTGAACGGCTCGTTGCCCTCGATGGCCTTCATGATCTTCTTGTAGTAGGCGTCGCTACCGAGGGAGTTGTAGTTGTAGAAGAATGGAGAGTCGGTGCTCTTGCGGTCGAAGGTGTTCATGCCGGGTTTGACTGTAAGGGAAGAAAAGAAAAAAAAAAATAATAATATTAATA